GCTGAAATAACTCCCGGCTCAACAGTTCCGAAAGTAAGATAGCCACCGAATTTTGCGCAGAGAATCCGTGAAATCAACCCTCTCTCACCCATGACAAGTCCAATTATAGGAACCTGAATATTCAGCAACAAATCAAACTGATGAATTTAACCGTACAATGAATCTTGGCTACATATAATAGTCCAACAAGATTAAAGAAAACAATAACGATTTTACCGATGTCCAGTTCGGATAATGAAAATGACACTTTCTTTCGGTAAAACAAACTTGAGAAATCATTTTGTTTCCTTTTTCTTTTGGTAAATTTCACCGATGTCTATTTCAGGTAATGAAAATGATCCTTTCAGTTACTCATCACTTATCAGTATCCAAAAGTTTTGGCATAGATTATCAAACACTTTACATAAACACTACTGCTGCTGCCACGACTTGGTTTGCAAATTCCAACACAGAATTAACCAAAATGAATCTACTGAAGAATGCAAATCTAAAAGCTCTCTTAAGCTTTACCCGGGACATATTCAGCAAAATTTAATGATTTTAACAAAGAAATCGTTTTAAACAAATCAATGATTCTTACTTGAGAATGCACGGTTATCTGAAAAATCCGTGCAACATCAGTGATATCAACGGCTGTTGTCGCGATCTTCACTATATCGGCTCCCGTAGATTGTATTTGTGCAACAAGGTTGCCAAGCTCCTCAACAGTGGATGTTCTCATAATTGTGAGAAGAAACTATAACTTTGATCTTTTCAGGCTTCTTTCCACTGATGGATTTTAAGAATTCATGAGCAACCTTGAAAAAACAGCAATTTGCATCACTAAAAGCATACAGTTTACACACAAAATAATGATATAGAAAGTTGTCATGTTTCAATTGATAGCTATGTTACGATGACACTTCATTTTCCTTAAAAGTTCTCGTATCTGGCATATGTCCAGACATATGTATGAGCATATGAACCTTCAAATGAACAGAAATACTTGAAAATTTTGAACATGATCACACATTGTCATATTCGACACTCACACCAAGTCCATGAAACATTGATAATAACAGCAAGAAACAAGCACCATACAATTCGAATCCACTCTATTAAATTCAGTAGACTTACTGTTTACTCACAAAACAATTAGATACAAAAGATGTGATGCTTCTACCAAAAGCTATACTTTGACTCTTCATTTTCTTTCGAACTATCCATGTTCAATTCATATCTGGATATGTGCAGGGAGAAATGACCCCTTAAATACTTGAAAAAACTAATCGTACATGTGTGGAGCATACACTCGTATCTGGACACAGTTACCAGAGATATGACCCTCGGAATATATGAAAAAACTTGAACACAACTAAACATATACATGTCGGACACGAACTAGTAAACTGTATGCACACTCGAGTCCAAGTAACATTGATGAAAGTGTACGAAACAAGCACAAAACAAATCAAGTTCTCTGAAGCAAACCTTAAGCTCAACATCAATGTAATCAGCTCCTAACTCCATGGCTAATTGAAGAACATCTAATCTCTCTTTCTCATCACCATCATACATGCCACCTTCCCATACTGGTCTGCAACACAAATTTACAAATTAAACAACTCAGAACAAGCTTGAAAGATCCATCAATGGCAGAATTTACGAAAGACTCACACAGGAATAAACAGGGAAATCCAAGAAAAGAAGAGAATCAGAAAAACACCCATTGAAAGTTGCATCAAACAAAAGGGAAAAAAAACAAAACTTGAAATATGTTTGTGAAGGAGCTTGCAAGGTCCATCAATGGCAGAATTTATGAATCCCCATAAAATTAAATTTTAAAAATACCCATTTAAACTTGAATCAAACTAAAGAAAATAAGTTCAAAAAAATTGAAACCTGTAGGTGAAGAGGGTAGGTAAAGGGGATGTTTGATTAAAACTTTGAGGTCTTCAAAAGGGTTGAAATTCTTGAGACTGTCCAATCTAATTTCTACAAGATCAGCAGTTGAAGCTTTAGCTTTACCATGTTAACCACCATCTTATCAATGTCATCCGCCATTACTGGAACACAAATCAGCGTGGGATTCTTCCTCGCGTCACTTCCAATCCCCTCCATTTTCAAACCAGAAACAACCTATCGAATTGAAACAAAAAAAAAACAAACAATTAAACAAATTTTCAGCAATTGATAAATTTAGCAAAGAATCTGAAAAATAAAAAATAAAAAGTAGTGAAGATTCACCAAGGGTTCACAGTATCCATTTTTGGGGAGTTGTAAGAAAATTCGAAGAAAAAGTTAGGCAGTTTGGGGAGGTGTAGGGGGATTTCGTTGGTTGAATTCTACACCTTGGATCCATATGGTTGTTGAACTGCATAAGGGACATAATTGGTTTTTCATATAAAGTAACTTTTAATACCTCAACTTGTTTATTTTTTAAAATTGGTCCTTAAATTTGGATTTTTTTTTCTTATTATTCTTTTTTATGTTATGCTACAGTGTTAGTGTACAACCTCGTCAATGATTATATAGTTGAACCTATTGATTAGTTTTAAGGTTTAATATAAAAAATTATATCGCTTTTCTTAAAGTGATGTTTAATTTTTTTCCGATCAATTTAAATATTTAACGTTATAAACATTATCGATTTAAGTGTCTCTATCGTAATGGTCGTTAATAAATCTGTTAGGTGTCACGTATTATATTTTGGTGAATTTTAAATTTTATTGTTTAAAAATTTAAAAATATTTTAATTTTAAAAAGAACCCTATTTTAATTTCAAAATTACCAAAATATTTTAATTGACATGTGTTTAAAGTTACAAATTTTGGTAATTTTAAGTCAGTCAATCCACATGTTTAAAGTCTTTTGAACACATATTATCTCTTATATTCCCCCAAACATCAGCACAAGTATAAGCTTGTCAAATAATAACAATGCACGTATATAAATCTTATCTTCAATCACTCAATAAATATATATTTAAAATATTTTATCTAAACAATTGAAAAAAATCGTATATAGATGATGTGAAATTTGAGAATCTCGTGACAAAAATTTACAAATTCCAAAGACCATCCCTAAATTTTATTAGACTTGTCAAAAATAATTATTGTCATGTAAAATAACCATGATTTTAATATCTAAAACTATCTTTTGAGAAAGAAATTGTGCAAGAGTTGTAGGTGGCTCCATTAATTTAACCGATGTATAAGAATAAATATCGGATTTTATGTTAAGAGTGAATCATAAAATTTTAAGAGGAATAAAGCTATAAAATTTTGAAGAACAAAAATATATCGTCGATATGAATATAAAAAAATTAAAATACATGAGAATTTAAAACTTTTAGAATACGATTATTTCCGCTCGTCTTTTCCAATACACGCGTGTAGAGTTTTTATTATGATCTTAAAAGAAAATTGGATTCAAACGCATGCATATGAAAGACATTTATGTTGAATAATTTGTTAACGGTAGCAGATTCAAAAATATTTTTAAGAGTTGATATATATATATCAATAACACAAACCTTTTGTATGAAGTAGGTATAAATAAAATTTTAGAACGAACCCGTCAATAAAATAAATAATTAATTAAATTAAATTCGAATTTGAGAGTCAACTTTAACACCATATACATCCACCGTACTTATTAATTTATCATTTCTCACTCTAATAATGTAATTAAAAGTAGGTTGTTCAGTGGAGTATGCATCTTATTTTTGTGTGGTTTCTTTTAAAACGGTTCCATATCTTTACTTTATTTCTTAATTTATTTTGTTTCGTTCCATTCAATAATAATATTTATTTATTTATTATTATTTTATTTTTTGGATTAATATTTTGTCTAACGATCTTAAGACAGATTCAATTATTTCTTTCGACCCGAGATTTACTTAATTTTAAGTTAAGTCATTTTACTTCGAACATAGAGTAGTTTATTGTGGGGAAAATGTGGATGACGATATGGCTAACATCGTTCCAACTGAGATTTTGTATCTTGATGTTGCCGAATCTCATAAGAACATTGTCTTGGATGTCGATCAAGAAATAAAGCCGAAGTTTATTGTTCGAAAAATTCTGTTTTAGGAGTTTAATCCTATCATTCAACGAAATTTATTCGATTGAATAACATAAATCGTTTGAAAGTAATAATAATGTTGTTCAACAAAATCAGACGGTAAAATAAAATGAATTAATGTTCAATTTATTGCTGGAGTTATGACGAATTCTAGTTTCATGTTTTAAACAAAGCAATGGATAACCCACCATTTCACCTTACTCGTGATCTGGAATGTTGATTTCTACTCGGGATTTGAATAAGATTCAATGATGTCGGTGGCCTATGTGAAATTCTATAATGTGTTCTATTTGACCATGTTAATTTTAATTAAATATAAGATGATTCTCCTATTATTAGAGAGGATGAGGTAAACATTTTTACCACATTCATTGTTGTTGAATTTTAGAATTTTTTGATTTTCGATATCAAAACTATCATGAATGGATTGTCAGATATACTGTATGAAGTGTATTGTATCCACAAGACGACTAAAGAATTATGAGTGGTATTGGAATATCAATATAAAGCAAGAGAATTACCTTAAAGGAAATGATGAATGTCATGTTAAGATGCTATGGGTTGTCACGTTGGGGGAGTTGTTTTACAAGTTAATTACCTTTTAGATAAGATGTCCCACTAGAAGATGGACAAGACTCTATATGAATTATGAAAAGGTAGAGAACCTTCCTACAACTACTTGAAAGTGTAGAGGTAGCTTTCAAAGGTAATTGATACAAAATAATTTTAAAGCACACTCCTGAATGGATAAAATATGTGCCCAAAATGTGCATATATTGTGATAAACAAGCAACAATTGGTATAGCACCTACTATAATGTATAATGGTTATGCATCATCGGTAAAATACCATTAGACAACTGATCTTAAAGTAGAGTTACCTTTATTGATTTTATAAGATCAAAAGATAACATTGTAGATATGCTAACTAAAAGGTTAAATCGATATCAATTTGATAAAACATCGAAAGGAATATGACTAAAGCCCATGAATATTTAAGGTGCTATGTGAAGGAAAATCCAACCTAGTTGACCAAGATCCCAAGATCTAAGTTTAATGGGACAACCTACTTACATAGACCTTGTGAGGTCACTGTGGGGTTCTTATCACAAGTCCATTCCTATGTTGAAAACATTAACTATAATGTGGAAAAGGTTAAACAATGCTTTTAATGATCATTGTGTGTTTTGGTAAGCTAAACAACATAAGTTACATATGTGAGAGTGAAGTGGAGCCACTTCAAAGAGATTATTGAGACATAATTCTCTAAGTTTTTTAGAACCAAGAGATGTCCACAATTATATGGACATTGTCATAACAATTTTTTAACGAATTAAAAATAATTATGATTTTATTTTTGAGAAAATTGATATTTTTTATGAAATTTGATTTTTAATTTGAATTTAGAGTCACCATCTAGATAGGTCTAATACCTAAAAACGTCTTATAAAATAATTTTAAGAAAAATCATTTTAAAGACAAAAATTAACACGCGTTCATCAAAAATTCATTTTTAAAGGCTCGGGAGTCGGTTAGGCGTGAAGAAGGATTAGCACCCCCACGGCGTCCAAAATTAGTATTTGATCGCTTATACATTGTCGTTGTAGTGGAATTTGTAAATTCGAGTCAAAAATTAAAAATGATCATTTTTATCTAACATTGATTAATTATTTCGAATCACGAAAATAGACTCAATTTATTTCAAGTTTGTTTTTCGTTTGAATGTCGTCAAATCACACTACTTCTATTAAATTGTGCTTTTCACACCCACTGTACGATAAACGTTCTTGAAATTACACGAGTAAGATATTTAAAGTATTATTAAATATAAAAATAATTAATAAAATTTAAAATATGTGTACAGAAATGTAATGTGTAAAATATATGTACATAAATATACATACACAGACATACATACATAAAAATATATATAAATATAATAGTTAAAACATATCACAAATATAATATATAATATATAATATATAATATCTATATATACGGGATATATATACAAAACATATAAAAACTTGATAACCATGACATATCACGCATTTAATAATGATAAATATTTATAACATAAATGGGAATACAATGAATGCAGAAACAATCCTAGGAGTTAAAGTGAAATTTGAACAGGGACCAAAATATCATAATTGAAGAATAGGGGCCAAATCAAGTTCCATCCAAAATTAAAATGATTACATGAGTAATATGACCAACATTAAGAAATTGGAAAGAATGCTCCATCACCTCGCCTGGAAAATGCTACCGCTGTCCACTGCCACCCTCCGGTGGTCGTTCGACGTCAAACTTCACAGAGAGGTTCATCTCAACACTGGAAACTTGGATCTGAACTTGGTTTGTCCGAAAAATACTCGATGAGGACGAAACAACATTGAAACCTTTCGATTTTTCACTCTCCGATCTATGTTATCGAACCGTCAGTTGGACTTGGTTTCAAGTTATGTTGCTCCCCTCAGTTTGGATTCACGAACTGACAACCGGAACTTCGATTCCGGTGAGACCACAACTGTGAAAGGTAAACTTTTCTTCTTTTCTCTCAGTTTATGTTCTTTTGTTCGGCCCTCCTGTCGTTTCTTTTCTCCCTTCTGAATGGTTGCATGTCATTTTAAAACAATGCTCATGTATGTTACTGTTGACGATGATGGTGAGCTATGGCAGAGGTGATGGTGGTGGGCGATGGGTTTACTGTTGGAATCTCGGATTTTCCGGGATTTGGTATTTGATATGATTTTTATTTTGGTGGATTTTCTGAAACATGAGCGACTCGAATTCGGCTTGATGACAATGGCGGTGTGGAACTCCGGTGGTGACGGCGGCGCGACTTCTTCTCCTTGGCGCGACAGTAGTTAGGGTGGAAACCCTAAAATTAGATTAGCCAAAAATTGTAATATAATGGGTTAGGGTTGTAATTAGGTCATTGGGTAGAGCTTGCTATGTAATTGGGTCGGTTGGCCTGCAAAAAATAATGATTAATATTAATATTAACATAATATAATATTATGATAATAAACAAATAATTAAGTATATAGATATAATTCGGACGAACGAGTGTCATAGACATAATCAGAGAACCAAATTCTTATCATGAAGATATTTGTGTAAGGTATGTCATCGTTTACGCAAATAACATGACAATTCAATAACATCACGTTTATTGGATAGCCAATAAGATTAACATATTTTCACATGGGAAGGCTCAAAGGGGCACCTACCTATCTTATGTAAATATCGAATGTCGAACTTATCATTACATCAAGCCAGAGTTTGAAATCATCAATTTTATTCATGTGGGATTGTTGAAAAAAATAATAAATAATTGAATAAAGTTGATGTTATTCGTAACAAGTTATGTCACTTGATAAATAAACTTATCTTTTAGTTTAAAATTGAATCTATTCAATTATACTTATTAGTTTTTCAACAATTCTTTTCGTGAAAGGTTTTAACTCTTCGTCAAAAAGTCTTAAACTTTTTGATTCATTTTTCCTCCACTATAAATAGGTTAGTTAAGACACAATCTTAGATAATTCCAAATCGTTGGAAAAACACATAGAAATTCCTTCCAAATTTGTTTTGTCTGGTGATAGAGAAAGGTAAGATTGTGTTAGACTAATCACTATGGTTGTGTTTATTGTTGTGATAATTTCTTGTTGTATACTGGGAGATGGACGTCCAAGGTTACTTAAAGTACCGAGGAGAAGACGAATCTATTTTAAGGAAATTGTTCATGCAGGCCTCAACAAAACTTCATCTTCTAATTATCTGACTCTGCTCTTCCTCGATTTCATGTCAAAATACGAATAAACAATTTCATTTCTTTACTTTATTCGTAATTTATTTTACTTCGTTCAATTCAATAATAATATTTACTTGTTTATTATTATATTCTCATATTAATATTTTGTCCAACGATATAGGAAAACAAGAGTTCAGAAAGAGCCCGAAATATTTTAAAAAAAAGTGTTTTCTGGAAGTGCAGAAAATGCTTCATGTTTAGGGAAGCGTCTAACTCTCGAAGCACATCTTGGAAGTGCTTTCATGGAGGAACACAAATAACATGTTTCGTCAAAAATTAACACAAATTGAGATTAGCTCAATGGTTGGGGGTTACTGGAATACTTTTTTCATATTAGATGGTTAAATTTATTAATTATATTTTTAATAGTCTAGAGTGATTACAAATTAGTATTTATTTAGAATCGTTTTTAACCATTAACAACTTACACACCCTACAGACGTAACTATTCGAACTCATAACCTCTAGGGAGAACACCTCTTGACCATTGGGTCTCTTGATGAGTTCAGTTTACTAAATTATTTTAAATTAAGACTAAATTAATATAATATATAAATTTACAATTATTATTATATCATATCATATCACCATTTCATTAATCAACTATTAAACCTAACTACCAGTGACTAAAATAGAAATATAGGAATAATGGGATACCTAACAAGTAGTTTACCTTTTTTATTCATCAATGGATTCAACATATTATCAATTCTATTTTTAACATTAATAGAACTCTCATGCACATTACAAATAATACTGTCGAAACGATTTTTTTCTTAAAGTGTGGAAAAGGTGAGATTTTAAAAACCACATTAATTCTTAATTATCTCTTTTTAATTTAAAAACAAATGCGATTTAAAGGACCTCTCGTTTCGAAAATTTTTAGATTTCCTTTACGATCGAAAATACAGTTCAAGGAGTCGCCACCAATCTTTGATAGGGTGTGATTGGCACCCAAAAATGCCTTGTCATTTTAAATAAAAATTAATTTTAATTAAAACAACAAATGAGGTCTGCGTTTCCAAAATCTGAGTTCGGAGTCGGTTACGTGTGGGGAAGGATTAGCACCCCCACAACGCCCTAAATCGGTACTAGTCGATTAATTACGTTTTTGCAATGAACTTTACAAATTGAACTTAATTTAATTTTTGATCCCATAAAACAAAAATGTAAATTTAAAACATTCAAAAACACTCAACAAATTAAATGAAATTACCAAGTCATTTTAGAAGATAAAGAATGTTCGATTATTAAATATCGAGACCAGATCTTAAAGATATAACAACCTTTTCTCGATATATTTAAATAAACGAACATTTTTTTCTTCCGTTCCCAAATTTAAGGTGATAAATCAATTTCTTAGGTGTCATGATGGGATACACTTTTAATTTAAAATCGTCGAAAGTGGATATCTAATCAGTTAAGACAACCCACTTGAAACAATTTTAAATTAAAAGGATATTACCCTTAATCCAATTATGTAATAATGTCGAGTCATGCTTATGAGGATATCATACATAAACTAGTTAAAAATACAACTCATTCGAATAAATATTTAAATCTAAAAATGCACATATAATATATATTAACAAATAAACCTACTATGTTAATATGCAACAAATATTTCTTATGTCTAATCATTTAATAACTGCAAATATAATATTTATCTCATTTACTTAAGGTTGAAAAAAATAAAAATTGCATAACATGCATACATAAAAATGTACATACCATACATAAAATAGTAATATGAATGTCATTACTTATGGACAAAATAAATCTACCGCTAAAACCCAATTCTAAATTTAATGCTACCATATAGGACTAAAATGACAAACACTAAAGCTAGGCAACCAAAATACAAACTGATCAGTAAATTAATCAAAACAACTAGGATTGAATTACCAAATACCAGAAATTATAGCTAAATGTGAAAACAAATAAAAAGGGAAAATAACATAGGCTGAGGACTAAAACATAACATGTTTACAATACACAGACCAAAATAAACACAGAAATTTAGGACCAAAACAGAATGCTCGGAAAATAGAAGACTAAGTTACTAATAAACAGATTACATTCCAGGACCAAAACAAACAGTTTCAAAACTGAAGGATCTCGTACCAGATTAACCAACTATCCTAAAACGCGGCGTATCACTCCCAGACTCAATGCGCTGCCGTTTTGGAACTACACGAACGACGCCGTTTTGGCGTTTTGGATATATGGAAACAAAGGGTAAGCTTTAACCCTAATCCTCATTCATCCTATCTCTAAACAGCTGAAACCTCACCCCGTTTTCTCTCAACCTCTTTCCTCTTCTTTTTCAACCCTCACCGAAGCCCCCAACCGCCGTGGCCTCCGCCGCCTAAGGGCTCCGATGAGGAGCCTAGACGTCATCTGACCCT